TCCGGGGCCGGAAGTGGGGCCGCGCTCCGCGCCGATTTTCCCGCCGCGCGTGGCCCCGCCCCTCCGCGGGCGGAACCTTCGGCGCCAGGGCGGGATGCGGGGGAGGCCGGGAAATGGACTCGCCGGGGCGCATGCGCACTGGTACTCTTTTTTTGCCGGGCCGCAGCGCGCATGCGCCTTAGAGCCGGCCGCCTCCGCAGGGCTTGGGGAGTTGACGATCCTCCCCGGCTGGCGGCGGTCGTCGAGCCAGTGCGGTCCCGGAGCAGAGAGACATGCTACGCACTTCCTGCTTGAGTTGCAAGCGGTGCGCGTTGGACGACACTGGCCCTCCGCGGCGAGGCGCCCCGGGGCAGCCAGACCCCCGCACGAAGACCCCTGCCTCGGCTCTGGGTGCGAATCGTATGTCAGTCCCGCTGCCATGTTTTTAAAAGGAAGAGTGGCTTTCAGAACGGGATCAGTGGCAAGAAAAGGGGTGTTAGTCCCCAGAGCCTACGGCCGAGGTCGTCTGGAGTCCTGGAGACCCCGCTGCCCGGGAGGCGCGAGGGCGCAGCCGTTGGGGTGTCCTCCGAAGGCCGAGCGCCAGCTTGGGGGCTTTGTTCCTCCGTCTTCTCCAGGCTTTCCGTAAGGAGCCGAGCGTTTGGAAAACAGAAACGACCGTTTCCTGTATGTCCCAGGTTCATACTTTGTGAACGGCCTGTAGCAAGTTATCGGCCACCCAGGGATCCGCGGACAGGGTTGCAACCAGCATTTTTAAGGCTAAGTGCTGTTCCATTTCCGTTTTGCTATTTGTGCTCTAGGCCACCACCTAAAATATGTGTCGTGTCGTTTTGTTTTGTTTTGTTTGTTTTGTTTTTAAGACTGTTTATTTTGAGAGAGAGAGAGAGAGCACCGAGCAGGGGAGAGGCAGGGGGAGAGAGTCCCAAGTGGATGCTAGGCTTGAATCCACAAAACCGAAACCGCGAGATCATGATCTGAGCCGAAACCATGAATTAGACGCTCAACTAACTGAGCCACCCCGGTGGTCCTGTAAAATAGGTTTCTTTTTTTTATTATTATAAAAAAAAATTTTTTTAATGTTTATCTATTTTTGAGAGAGACAGACAGACAGAGCGTGAGCAGGGGAGGGGCAGAGAGAGAGGGAGACACAGAATCCGAAGCAGGCTCCAGGCTCTGAGCTGTCAGCACAGAGCCGGATGTGGGGCTGGAACCCACGAACCACCAGATCATGACCTGAACCGAAGTTGGATGCTTAACCCACTGAGCCACCCAGGCGCCCTGGTGAAATAGATTTTGTAATCAAAACAGTGGTTGGGGGTTAGAGGCAAGAAATGACCTCAGTTGAGGGGCGCCTGGGTGGCTCAGTCAGTCAAGCATCCAACTCTTGGTATCGGCTCAGGTCACGATCTCAGGGTTTTGTGAGTTTGAGCCCCATGTCAGGCCCTGTGCTGACAGTGTGGAGCCTGCTTGGGATGCTGTGTCTCTTTCTCTCTGCCCCTCCCTGCTCACGCAGTCTCTCTGAAAATAAATAAACTTAAAAAAAAAAAAAAAAAAGAATTGACCTCAGTCAGAAGGGAACACTCCAAATGTAAGCTTGCTATGCGTTATAGAGGGAGAGCGTAGGATTCTGGGACTGTAATGGCATCACGAATTCTAGGCACAGCCTCTTCTTCAGACCAATGGTGATAAGGGGACTTTGTAAATATTTCTGCTCATAGCTGCTCATCAGGAGGGAGGGAGCTGTCTTCTCTCCCAGATACACTGTGGTTCTCTATGCTCTGTTTCACGTTTAGAAGATAAACAATCCTGGTCTTGGAGAGGTACAGGCAGCTGAATCTAACCGCAGTGACTCCGATATCTGGCTCCCAGCCAGCGGTTTGGCCCAGTCCCTGCCCTCCGTAGATAAGCTGAGAAGCAGGAGCCTTCCCAGAGTCTCCAAAATGCTTAGGAATTTCTGCCAGCATTTCATTTGTCTTGCACCTGCCTACCCACCGGCCTGGAACCACAGCGTGCTGGCTAGGCTCGTGCTTCCCAAGAGAGCTGTGTGAGGGGATGGGAGGCAGGCCCTAGGGTCGCGACAAATCCGGGAACCCCCCCCCCATAAGAGAGCACTCCCTGCCTGCCTGGCCACCACATGGCTGCGTGACTCGGCCACGCACTCCCAGGCACATTCTCCTCAGGGGGACTCCTGGGAGGGACATGCGTGGCCTTGCTGTGCTCTGGCCGGCTCCCTGGGGCACAAGCAGAGGCAGAAGCAGGCCGTGGGAGGCCTGAATGGCTCTGGGGATAGCTGCGTCCTAAAGGACCCTTCACAGGCTCTTGTGGGATCAGGAAGGTGAATCTAAAATGTGTCTGCCCGTGTGAGGGGGGAGTCTGGGGACTGAACAGTGCTGTCTGCATGCACTGCCAGCAGCAAAGGGACACATGGTCTTCAAAGGCCAGCCAGCAGCCGGAGGGACACATGCCATACAGCAGGGGCCTGGGGACCACCTCCAGTGCTGTGGCCAGTGTCCATGCCATGGCACTGCGTCTGGCTGTGCCTCTGTTACTTTTAATGTCATTACTGGAGACTAGGCCTTTTGGGGTGACTTAAGGCTTGGGGCAGCTCCTTCTTAAGAAATTGCCCACCCACCTACAATAATGGGGTCCACAGCCACCTCTGCAAGGTATGACCCCTACCTTTCGGTCACAGCTGATTGGACGAGAGGTGCACAGCTGAACCAATCAGATCCTCTCCTGGGACCCAAGACTCTACGGGGAGAGCTCACCCTTCTGTCCCCTCTGGTTGTGGGAAGTGAGATGGAGTAGGACGGCCACCGCCACCATGTGTGTGGTGACAGAGTGAGCAAGGGACCGTGTGGCCCAGGGACAGGCAGCCACACACAGCTAAATCAGATGGTTTGTAATGGTTTCCAATGTGCTCTCTTGGGAGACCCACTGCCCTTCGCGATGGCCCAGGTTTTTATGAAGCAGCCTGTAGCCCTTCCCGAACATTTGCCTCTTTTGCTTAAAGTGCCTCTGCGTGGATTTCTGTTTCTTCCAACCCAAGGAGTCTTGACTAAAGCCTGGTCAAAAAGTTGATCCATATGAGGCTACGTTAATAAAAGCATAGAGTCTAGAATAAGGGAAGCGAAGGGCACGTGGGTGGCTCAGTCAAGTGTTTGACTCTTGATTTCAGCTCAGGTCGTGATCTCATGGTTTGTGAGATCGAGCCCCGCATCGGGCTCTGCTGATGGTGCGGGGCCTGCTTGGGATTCTCTTTCTCCTCCTCTCTCTCCCCCTCCCCTGCTGGCATTCTGTGTCTCAAAATAAATATTATTTTAAAAATAAAAGAAAAATAGAATAAGGGTAGTGAAAGCCCTTCTCTGCTGAGTTCTGCCCAGGCTCCACCTGAAATGTCACGTTGGTCTATAGGTATGGAATGCTAAGAGGTTATAGCCTGGCTAAAATGCCAAGAGACAGACCAGATAACAAGGGACTAGAACCCTTGTTTGTGGATGTTTACCCTGGAGAAACTGGGACATTGGCGCTATGCCTTCATTCATGTGATGAGCCAGTTTTTACTGAGTGCCATCTGGAAGCCTGGCTGCTGAAAGCCCATTACAGGCTGTGCCATGAGGGTCCACTATGTGCCAGGCTGAGACCAAGACTGATGAGGCCCCTGCCCTCAAGGAGCTCATATTCTAGTGGACAGAGACTAGTAGAGAAATTAGTCTTGTTAAAATAATTTCAGAGCCGCCTGGGTGGCTCAGTCGGTTGAGTGTCCAACTCTTGGTTTCAGCTTAGGCAGGTCATGATCTCACTGTTTGGTTCGTGAGTTCGAGCCCCACATCGGGCTCCCCACTGACTGTGGAGCCTGCTTGGGATTCTCCCGCGCGCGTTCTCTCTCTCTATCTCTATCTCTCTGTCCCTCTTCTGCTTGTGCTCTCTCTTTCTCTCTCAAATAAATAATAGTAATTTCAGATAAAGAATTTAAAACCCAGTC